TGTTACAGTTGTTATGTAAATTAGATACAGTTGTAACCAACCTTAAACTGGTTAATAACTGGTGGGACCTAGAAAATGCCTTGCTTATTTGGTTTGCATACAGAAGGGGGGGGGAGAGAGAGAGAGAGAGAGAGAGAGAGAGAGAGAGAGAGAGAGAGATATTATTTCACAATAACCAGAATTCTTACGGTTTTTTACTCTTATTATTTTGGTTTGATCCTTGTGCTTTTTGTTTGTTTTTCTACACAGGCACCAGCAGTACAAAAGAATCTAAACAAAATTCAAAGTTTGTCTATGTATTTCTCCAGGAAATACTCCAAAATTTACCCCCAAATGGAACTACAAACACTTGAATACATTCTAAAGTCTTAGAATTAGTGGGACAATAGTCAGCTTATAGTTCTTGCCCTGGTCGACCAACCTTTAGGTTTTCTTCTCTCTCTCCTTTTCCTCCTGGAATTGAAAGTTCTTGCAGAGACATATACACAAGCTTCATAGAGACCATTTTATCTGCTTGCTGGTGTGCAGACCCTGGTCTGATAGTAAATCTCTATCCAAAAATTATTTTCATGTGTTTTACATAGAAATTATCTTCCTGGATCAATAATTTCCTTTATAAAATACAGTTGCACAATGCTCAAAGCCTGCTCTGGTCAATTTCAGTGGACACTTCTATTTTGCAAATTTATGTTGAAAAATACTTGCCATGGACTTTTTTTTTCATACAGAGATAACCCTGGGGAGAAACTTATGCAATTGCTCAATTCCAATTGCTCGTCCGTCATCTGTCAGGTTTGTGACCATGATCTATCCTGTGGTTAAGAAAAGGGAACACGTTTCCAAAGGTAGCATACTGAAATGATCACCTTCTTCCAGTAGCAATCATGGCTTGTATGCGGGCTGCTGGTGAGTTCTCCAGAAGGGCTATGTGGAAGGTGTGGGAACACCCAGCCTACATTGGCTGAACTGGACACAAGCTCTTGCCAGATCTGGGGTATGAATGGGAACAAGATGCGGTGAGAAAAAGCACCAAGTGGGCACTTAAGAATGGCTTGTGGAGTGCCCAGCCCTGGGCATGACAGAGCTACACATGGGGCTCACTGACTCCTAACACTGGCATTATGATAGTGATAGCACTGTCACTACCTTATAAATGAAAAAGCTGACATTTAAAGAAGAAAAAAAAATATGTCATTGATGGTCACAAAATGCAAAGTGCTAGGCAGATGTTTCAATGCAATTAGAATCAAATTCCATCTAAAGCTAAAGAATTTTAATTAAAAAATTCAATCCTAGCCGAGCGGTGGTGGCCCACGACTTTAATCCCAGCACTCAGAAGACAGAGCCAGGCCGATCTCTCTGAGTTCGAGGCCAGCCTGGACTACAGAGTGAGTTCCAGGAAAGGCGCAAAGCTACACAGAGAAACCCTGTCTCAAAATAAATAAATAAATAATAATAATAATAAATAAAAATTCAATCCTAAGGAAAAGAGATGAAAATTTTCTATTTGTTTAAATAATTGTAAGAAACCACATGATATGTGGAAATATAAATGGTAATATAGTCTGATGGGAAAAGATATTCTCCCCAATATGTAAAAAGAAATAAGATAACTGTAAAAATTTAAAAGTTAACCAAAAATCTTAACTAAAAAGTTAACCAATAGCATCGATTATTTAAAACGATTCTGGATCACTATTTTTCACAATAGCTTTTCTTTTATTATTTTCCTTTCAGTTATGAAATCCTAGAGATGAAGCCCAAGACCTTGGAACATGCTGAAAAGAATGCTCTACCACTGAGCCACATCATTAGTCTTCAAATAATCAAGCCGTTTAGTGTGTTGAAAAATAGCACTATTGACACACTCTGATCATCACAAATTTTACCAACTAGTTTATATTTGAACACCATTGTAAGTCTGCATCCATGCACATGACATCACTTTATTAAATGCAAAGAGAAATGAACAACACATGAACATTTATGATCAATTACAACAATGTAAAGAGATTACACAGCAACTGAGTGTTTATTTACTTATTTACTATCTACTAGGTATTAAAGCATAGAAGCTGCTATCTAGGGATTTTAAGTAGAACGAAAAAGTTCAGGCTGTCACAGCAGACTAGGCAAAAACAAAAATGAACCAAGACAATAGCAAAAAATAAAAAAAAATGTAGCTAGAGTTTTCCTGC